GATGAGAAAAAGGGGGTAGCCAAAGGAGTCTTGACCCAACAGCTAGGTCCCTGGAAGAGACCAGTGGCATACTTTTCCAAGAAATTAGACGCAGTAGCGGCAGGATGGCCCCCCTGCCTCCGCATCATAGCGGCCATTGCCGTGCTGGTGAGAGAAGCCGATAAACTAACCTTTGGACAGGCCCTCTGGGTAACGGCCCCTCACCCGGTGGAGGGAATCCTTAAACAACCCCCTGGGAAATGGATGACGAATGCCAGGCTCACCCACTACCAGGGGCTCTTGTTGGATTCCCCTCGGATCACATTCACAGATCCCGTAATCCTGAACCCTGCCACCTTGTTGCCTAACCCGGAACTGCAGACACCTGTCCATAACTGCAAAGAATTCCTCTCCGAAGTTACACAGGTACGGGCTGACCTAAAGGATACCCCCCTGTCCGGCTGCAAATTAAACTGGTACACGGATGGAAGCAGTTTTTTCCAAGATGGAGCCCGAAGGGCAGGGGCAGCTGTAGTCGACCAAGAAGGAAATACGGTATGGAGCAGCGCCCTCCCACCCGGAACATCAGCCCAAAAAGCGGAATTAATTGCCTTGGCAGAGGCCCTGGAGAGGGCAAAAGGAAAGCGAGTCAATATCTACACCGATAGCCGCTATGCTTTCGGTACCATCCATGTCCACGGGGCCATCTATCGCGAAAGAGGATTCCGCACAGCAGAAGGAAAACATCTAAAGAACCTAGCCGAAGTCCAGCGTCTATTAATGGCAGTGGAAAAACCGAAGGCAGTGGCAGTGATGTATGTCCCAGGCCACCAGTCTGCCAAGACGCCGGAAGCTGTCGGTAACAACAGAGCAGATCAAGAAGCAAAGAGAGTAGCAATGGTGAGTCCTCCCATGGAGACAGGGCAACCTTCCACGGTTGCGGCGATAGACGTGCCGGTCCCAGAGCTCCCTCCGCTACCCCCCGACCAGAATACTCCACAGAGGATTTCACTTGGATGAGAGCCCACTCCCCCTTTAGAGAAGGGGAAGACGGATGGAAAAGCGACTTGGAAGGCAAGTTAATTCTGCCTGAAAAACTCGGACGATTCCTGTTGGCTAACTTACATAAGTCCACCCATTTGGGGCGGAGAAAATTACTAGACTTGTTGACATCTGCGCAGCTCCGATTTCCGAACCAGACCATAGCAGTCCGCCAAATTGTGGAAGATTGTGCCAGCTGCACAATCATGAAACCAGGACGAAGGGAGGGGCACCATACAGGTACTCGGGAACGGGGGAGGGCTCCGGGAAGAAGTTGGGAAGTGGATTTTACTGAGGTAAAACCGGGAAAGTTTGGGTACAAATATTTGCTGGTATTCATAGATACCTTTTCAGGCTGGGTGGAGGCTTTTCCTACAAAGAAGGAGACGAGTCAGGTAGTGGCAAAGGCTTTGCTAGAGGAAATCATACCCAGATATGGGGTGCCCGAGGCAATTGGGTCAGATAACGGTCCGGCTTTTGTTAGTAAAGTCCTGCAGGGACTAGCCCAGACTATGGGGGCCAATTGGAAGCTACATTGTGAATATAACCCCCAGAGCTCAGGGCAAGTAGAAAGGATGAATAGGACACTAAAGGAGACTTTAGCCAAATTGGCCCTGGAGACTGGCGGTGATTGGGTGACGCTCCTTCCCTTGGCCATCTTCCGAGTCCGGAACTCCCCTATGTCCATGGGCTAACTCCCTTTGAGATCCTGTATGGGGCTCCACCCCCCATCATTCAGAGGACCTTAAGCCCAGACTAGGTGATCTGGCCCCAAATTACCTGACTTACAGGCTTTAGCTAAAGTGCAACAACATTGGCCCTTAATTCAAGCATACCATACTGAGAGGGACCCGCCGGAACATGGCATAGTCCCGGGGACATGGTATGGGTTAAAAGGCATCAGTCCAAAACCCTAGAGCCTAGATGGAAAGGACCTTATGTTGTACTGTTTACTACCCCTACCGCCCTCAAGGTCGACGGGATTGCAGCATGGGTACACCATTCCCATGTAAGACGGGCTCACCCTCCGGAGAAAAAACAGGAAAATTGGTCGCACGGAAGCATCCAACAAACCCACTCAAGCTCCGGCTGATACGGGATGCTCCGAAAAACGAGAACACTCCAGATGCTCCGCAGCCCTCCTAGAATGGGATTATCACCTGGGTCCACTACACCCACATCAGACCGGCAGATCCGGTAGCTATGAAGAAAGGCTTCCTGCCAACAAGAAGGGTGTCCCACCACAAGGAAAATTTTTTCAAACTCAAACTTCATACTGGACCTCGGTAACTTTATTCCTTTTTCTAACCCTGTCCACCACTTGCTGGGGGCATACAAATCCACATCAACCTTTTAACCTGACCTGGATGATTGTAGATGTATCCACAGGAGACATTCTTAACCAGACCTCCAAGGTGACCCCTCCCAGCACCTGGTTCCCAGAATTATACTTTGACTTAAGGGCCTTATTCACTGGCAGGGGACAATGGGATTTGCGCCAAAGTTACTTCTATGTCTGCCCCGCTCCCCAACCCAACCACAGAAAAAAATGTGGAGGAATCGCAGACTATTATTGTAAGTCATGGGGTTGTGAGAGCTCAGGGGATATATGGTGGCCACCCCCCAAACAGGGGGACCTTATTCAATTAAGTAGAGTCTCTCAATCTGGCATTACATACCACCAACCTAGACCTATAAATAAGGGATGCCCAACTCCCCCCAATTGTAATCCCATTATGATAAATTTCACTGATTTAGGAAAAAAGGCAACGAATTGGGAATTGGGTAAATCCTGGGGAGTCAGACTCTACAAAACAAATCATCCAGGAGCCCTTTTTACTTTGCGGCGTGTGCGACAACCAGTCTCTACTCTAACAATAGGCCCTAATAAGGTACTTAGGCCACCCTATGTAAAGCCACCTCCCCGACCTTTCACAGCTCATCACCTTCCCTCTGGGAGCTAGTGGGTGCTGCCTTCCTGACGTTAAACCACACCAACCCTAACATGACTAACTCCTGTTGGTTATGTTATGATGTGAGGCCCCCATTCTATGAGGCAATAGGGCTAAACACCACTCACGATACCTCATCTGAGGAAAACCCTACTCAATGTTCCTGGGGAGACCGTAAGAGAGGTCTGACCATACAGCAGGTAAGCGGCCAAGGAACCTGCTTAGGAAAAGTGCCAAAGAACAGACGGGACTTATGTACTGTTATTAACGCCAGTTCTACCTGGGAAAATGCTATTAAATGGGTAATTCCAAGGGACAATGGGTGGTGGCTATGCTCGCGGTCTGGACTCACCCCGTGCCTATCAACTAAGGTGTTTAACAGCTCTAAAGAATTCTGTGTTATAGTGACTGTGCTGCCCCGCATCCTCTATCATTCGGAAGAGAGTCTATATTCATACTGGAATACAAAAATGGTTGAAAAAAGGAAAAAGAGAGAACCTATTTCCACAGTAACTATTGCTACCCTACTCAGCCTAGGGTTAGCGGGAGCAGGAACCGGCATAGCTTCTTTGGCCACCCAGCAGAAAGGGATGTCTTCGCTGCGTGCAGCCATAGACGAAGATATAGAGAGAATAGAAACCTCCATTAGCCACCTAGAAAAATCCCTCACTTCCCTGTCTGAGGTAGTACTTCAAAACCGACGAGGTCTGGACTTGTTGTTCCTCCAAAAGGGGGGACTATGTGTTGCTCTAGGGGAAGAATGTTGTTTTTACGCTGACCATACCGGAGTTGTTCGTGACTCCATGTCTAAACTTCGAAAGAGCCTGGAACAAAGAAAACGAGAAAGAGAGGCCGGGGAAAGCTGGTTCGAGTCTTGGTTTAACCAGTCCCCATGGTTGGCTACCCTTTTATCTGCATTGGCAGGGCCAATAATAATCATCCTATTACTTGTTACCATAGGACCCTGGATTCTAAACCGACTTATGACTTTTGTCAAAAGTCGAATTAATACTATCCAACTTCTGGTCCTCCGCCAACAATATCAGGCTCTTCATCCCCTTGAGAATGATTCCTCAATTTAGGCCGTAAGAAAAGGGGGGAATGAAAGGAATAGGAGGTCTCAGCGGGCCCCAACCCCCTTGTTGGAGAAACCAGTACCAAACACCCCATGTAGATAAGATAAGCAATGCGGCAGGGCTCAGTTAGGGCATATAGAATGTGGGGAATGTGAGCGGGGGGTACATGCAAGATGTGAAGTACGTGCAAGATGTGAGGTACGCGCAAGATGTGCTCTGCCTGCTTGCCCAATGTTGATAACGAAAATATGCACGCCACCACGGTCTATATAAGATTTCCCCTAAAGAGGCTCAGGGTCGTGTTTTTCCTAACCGGTCCTGCATGTCCGTGTGGGAGCTCGACCCTGGCTAGCCAGCCCAATAAACTCTGCTTTGTAGATTGCATTCACGCCTGGCTCTCTGTCTCTCGGGGGAATAGGATTCCGGGTCCTAACAAATTCAAGTATCAAAAAACCCATGTCATCATTGTGTTCTAGGATATGTCATCCCAATATAAGTTCTAAAATTGTTTTGTGCCCTCAACATGCTGAACACAGGAGAGTCAGTCACTTTGAATGCTTTGCTCTTGGACATTTCTGTAATTTTAAGGAAACTTGGCCTTTCTTTCTGGTATATTGCTATATTTTGGGTAGTCTGGGCACTGCTATAACATTTGCCTGGTCTATTCTTAGCAGAGAAAACTTGGTTTTGACTCCATGGGAAGGAAAAAAATTGTTAAATCAGTTTTCAAAAGTCATGTTGATGTTCAGTTCAATAACTGATCTTGGCAAGTCTGTAATGATTTCAAGCACCAATAGTTTGAGCCTGATTTGATGGTTGATAGGATTAACTTAATTTTGGGCACTCCAGGCTTGCTTACTTTTGTTTGGTGACGCAGTCTCTTAGAGTGTTCACCTGCTCTCAGGCCCAACAACTTCAAATAAATACCCAAGACTTGGTCTAGTACTCAAGGATGATTTATTGCCCCATTCCAAGGACTTTTTTAAAAATACATACAATTTTGCCACTTCTTCCTCTTCCTTCTCCTCCTCCTTTTCCTCAACTCTAAAATTCTCTATTTATACATCTGGAGTTGTATTTGATTCAGTCAATCCAGTCTTCCTTATCGAAATATCTCATTTCAAGACTTAGCTCTTTGGCTCTGTTACTTAGTTGTCTAATTCTGTTTTCTTCTTTTGTTTTTAAAGCTTGACTTTACTGAGAGAAGGATGATTTCTTGTTTTTCAGCATCAGGTGAATTGCCATCATGGCAAAGGAGGCCAACCACGTCAATGCTCCTGTTACTGTGTAAGCGAGCCCCAAGAAAAGGCCACTACCTCCACTCCATGTCATGGTAGAAAGAACAACAGATTTCTCTCCCTGGAACTTTGTTACTGGAAAATCTAAGAAGACTGTTAAGGATCTGTGTCAGCACTTCTCATTTCTATCACTGCTACACCAAGCATGTTAGATTAAATCATATACAGTTGCTTTTTTATAGGTAAAAATTATTGAATATTCACTTTCATATGGTTCAACCTAATCAAGCAGTACTCTTTAACTTGCTGGAATAAAATTAAGTAAAAATAAGCCTTCTGTCTATATAGTTGCAATTTACAACAGACTCAGACACAGACAGACCTGAAGGACTTGCAGACTGCTGAGTAATAAACAGACATATTTAATTGCCTTTGATGAACCCATGAAAGGTAAAGGAATATAGACAGGTTTTATAGAAAACCTAAATTTTTATTTATGAATCAGGAGGGGCTAAATTTCTGAAAAGATTCAGGAGGCTTGAATTCCTACCTTAGTAAAAATTCTTCTAGGGGAGTTAAGAACAGCAACAATAACAACAAAAATAGAATAGATGGTAAAGCATTTTTGGTGAGAAAACAAAAGATGGCGCATTTGTTTGTGTGTTAAAAAGGCCAGCAACCCTGCTGCTGGTGAGAAAGTGTTTGAAGTAGGTTAGCATTTTAATGATGTCATCTTGATTATGCATGTGGCCTGAGGTTTTCAAACATCTGGTCCCTTTTGTAAAGGAAACTAATAAACAAACAAAGGCTTCTCATAGCAACAGCACAGGACAAGGCATTTCCCAGCAGAGCTCTTAAAGGCCTCAAGTCATTTGGCAACATGCTATTTAAAGATACAAAGAAACTTGTTTGGAAACTAGTTCTGTCTTTTCTTTTACATCAGAATTCCTTGTTGTCACCAGGTCCTTGAGCACTACCCCACCCCATCTGCCCTCCTGTGTTCTCCTTCAGTTCCATTGGAAGGGGAGGGTCCTTACCTCACACACAGAACATCTTTTTTTCTTCCAAAATTGCAGGTATTGTCTGCAGCCTAGACTTAGTCCTCTTGCTTGTTAGCAAGGCCACTAGACTGGTTGGGTAATATTCATACCAGGGCTACACACAGGTAGTGCAAGTGGAGGACCGGAGCTCAGAATTGAAGTTGTGTGTGGAACATCTAGACTTGAGAGTGAAGTCACGAAGGAGAGCATGCTCAGAGGGGAGAAACAGTTCCTGTTTAGAACATGACCTCCCTTCTTCATCCTCCAATCCAATCTCATCACATTGTATGGTGAAGACACAACAGAGCATGATTTCTTTTTCCAGTTTCTTGAATACAGGTAGGGCAATCACAAAGTTGATGGGATCCAACCTGATGGGTACAACCTCGGAGACAATTGTCAAACTTTAAATCTCTACTTAAATTTTTCTTGAGAGAGAAAATTGAGAAATTCCTCTCCAAATGTAGGCTACAATTTGCTCTTTGATCGGTGCCTACAATGCTCCACAGGAGAGGCAATTTGATTTCATGTTCATAAACTAGAATTAGAGATCCTGTTAAATGAACTAGCTGGAGGCAAATGACCACAAAATGAGGCAAAAAAAAAAAAGAGGAAAAGATGGTGTCACATCAGCAGGGACATCTATGAGGGATACTTCTGATTCCTAGTCAGATGTCCTATTCTAGGACAGAAAAGATGATACATGGAATAGACAACTAGAGCACATGATGTTGTTCAGGCTTCATGTTTTCCCAAGAATTTCTCATTCAGTCTCTCTGGGAGGTAAAGAGAGTAAGGAGGTGAACAATTCTGTGTTAAAACACTCTGGTATGCTGAAGGACCTGTGAACACCAGGCTTGACATGCTTAAGTGGTGCCTGATTGGGCTCCTGTTTCAGAGCTGTGTACAGCTGGGGAAAGACTTGGCCTCAAGAAGAATGAGAAAGGGACTTTAAAATCAATTCTAAAGACCAGAGTTAGTATAAATTATTATTTTTTTCAGTTAGTATAGAATATATTAAATATATGACTCCTTTAAGATAAGTGCTTGTTTCCATTTTAAAATTAAATCCTTTTTGCTTTTAAATCAAGTTACACTGGTATTTTTAATTAAGTTAAAGAATTCATATCTCTTATTAAAGCTTATGTCTCATAACTTGGCCCATATGCCCATTGCTAAGGTGCTGAGGGAAGAATACAGCATTTCTAAAGCATGGCTCAAATAGCACGTCCTGTGGTGGGCTGCATTAACTGGACCTGACCCTTGAGCCCAGTGCTCTCTTGCTCTAAGATACTGAAGGATGGACTGCAGGAGGTCCCAAAAGGCGATGATTGGCTAAGGAGACACTTCTCCTTCCCAGGAGACATGACAGACATCTCTGCCCTCAGGCAATACAAAAGAAAAAAGGCTATAAAAACCCAATTTTCAACCTGACCCATGAGACCACGTTTCCAGGTCCCGCTGCATGGCCCCATGCAGCCTTTGTTTTCTCTTCTCTACAAATAGAATCTTTCTCACCTCTGCTGCTGGAGTCCACCTCTGCTTTCCGTCTTAGTGTGGACCCAAGAACCCTCAACAGCTGAAAATTCCTGCATGTCATCTGTGTATCATATCTGGCAATCACAAAAGGACACTTCTTCACCTGAGGTCAGTATAGGTTGTGCCAAACTGGAGGGGACTGCCTAGGAAGTGGCTGTGATCATCTGGTATGCTGATGGAGTCTGTCCTTCAGGAGCACTCCCCCTCCCTCATGGCTTAGCTACGGTGGATCGCCCAGGCTGACTCTCTCTCTCTGTCTTTTGCTAGGAAGGTTTTCTCCCTCAGGAACCTGGGGAAAAAGCTCTGAGCCCTCTACAGCTGTTAAGGCAGGCAACCCAAGAAATCAGGGGATGGCTGGGTGCTTATACTGGACTGCCAATGCTACATGGGCAGAGGTAAACCTCATTGCACCAAGGCTTTTTTCTTCTCAACTCTCGGCTACCTCCTTCCTCAAGCTCTCTCCCCTTTCAGATCTGACCCACTTAGGAGGAGGTCCAAAAACAGTTGGTGGAAAGAAAAGTTTCTCTTCAAGCTATGAGAGTGCTCTGGCTGCGGCAACTCCCTGGTGACACCTGAAGGCTGGAGATGCAACTTCCTGACCCACCCTGAGGTTCCAAAGGTGGCTAAGTATAGGACTCCTCCAGCCATGTCTGTGGCAAACAGACAATCAGATATTTACGCTTTCTTCACAGTTCCCGTGGCCTGAGAGTAGAGGTCACCATTCACTTCCAGTGCTCCAGTACTGCTTCTGGCAGAATCAACCTGGATAGCAGTGATGACCAATAATCCCTCATGTGTTAAACCTACAAATTCTCTTTCCCCCAATCCTCAGCTTCTCCTTCCTCTTTCCCAAGTAGATCAGGATGAGTGGCCTCTCCCTTTGTCCTAGACAGCAGTGGGCTTCTTTTGTCAGTCTGGGAGAGATCCCTACATCCCCCGTGATAGACACCAGAAAGTGCTACTCTCTAATTTGGGCTTAACTGTTAGGCATCTGGTTGATCTGGTCAAGCAGATTCCTGTAGTCTGCCCTCAGGGGAGAAAAGAGTTAAGGGGATAGAGACCTCAAAGGTCTGTTTTTGTCCCTTACTACAGCAGCCAAAAAAAAAAAAAAAAAAAAAAAAAAGTGCCTTCAGATGCTCCCTCTCTTCTTACAGAAAATATATATGTCTTATACATAGGGGGGACAAAAGTCTACCTCATCAGGAGTCCCCATCCATGCTTCTGCAAGGGCCCTCCCTCTGGCCATGCAAGCCCTCTTAGTTACTTTGATAGAGTTTTTTTTTTAAAATTACAAGCCTTGAGCTGGTAGAGGAGAACCAGGTACCTGGGCCACAAGGCAAAAGGCAAAGCAAAACAGACAAAGAAAAAGAATGATCAGGGTCACTCTGGTGGGGTGATGAACCTAAATGTCTTCTCCACGATAGCCATAGGTGGAAGGGGTAGGAGAGTATTGGGAGAGAGGGATGCTCTCTCCCACACAGAGGGAGTCTGCTTCTGCTTTCATTCTCAATGGGACCCAAGAACCCTCAACAGCTGAAAATTCCTGAGTGTCATCTGTGTATCAGTTACCTTTGCCTGGAATTAAAACATTCTACAGACTCTCTTGGTTTCTGCCATTTTTAATCTCTGTTCCTAATTTACTTTTTTACCAAACTCCTCTCTATTTTCATGATCCTCTTATCACATCCTATATGACAAGTTTCTCCTCACAGTTTTACCTGTCTAGCCCCACTGGTACTTAGTCTTTCTTGGGAGAAATAAATATTTCTTTCCTAATAATCAATACCTTTTTACCTGCTACTGCTATTAACAGTTACTCCTTATAAAAAGGACACATTTAAGTATATAATGTGGAGATAGTTATATGATGATGGAATGACAGCTGAAGAGGCTGAGGACACACCATCCCCAAATAAGCCACTTTAGCATATTATTTTGATTAAAGGCACTTGACAGACAGATCCAAGATGGCGACCGGAACACAGCCACAGACCTTCTGACCTCTGTGATCCAGGGACTTTGATAAGAAGCTGGAGACACACTTGACTGAGGTAAAACACCAGGGAGAGCTGAAACATCAGCACTCTGAACCCCTAGCTCGTGGAAGACCTCTCCACTCCACCATATACTAAAAGAATAGCAGGTGCTGCATGCCAAGCCCTGCCCCATAGGCCCATGGAGCTATTGCTCCATACGCTGTGGGATCTCTGTGGGACGAGCCCTTAAGGCTGGGGATCAACAGACATTTACAATCTCTGCCAGGCCTGCACAGCCCTGCATGATCTCTGCTCTGCTGGGCCACACCCCCAAGGCCTGCACATCCCTGCACAATATTCACTCCGCAAGCCTGTGCCCCTAAGGTCTGCCAAGCATGGGACCCATACACACACAATCTCCATTCTGCTGGACTGCATCCTCCCAAGCCTGTCAAGCTGGGGATCCACAGACATGCAGGATCTCCACTCTGCTACCCTGCACTCTTCAGGTATATGAAGCCCATGCTCCAAAGGTCCACTACTTCATCTCAGCTAAAGGCCTCCACCTGAAGGCCCAAGAGATGCCACC